TTAATACAAGCTGCGATTCTATTATGCTCTGATCGACGCTTAACCCAGACGCTTGCTCGGTATGATGGACAACGGACAAATAAACTTTTTAGTAGCTCCCGCCTGCTGGACGTGATGGACAATCAGCGGTCTGGTGGTGATCGGTATCAATCAGATGCTCAAAAATTCAGCTTTTGGTAGAATTCAATTTTGATTAACAAGTTGATGAAAAATTGTTTTAGTTAAATGGAATAATTTTACGGAATAGAATTGACTATATTTAAAAGAAAGAATTCTGATCAAAAAGAATAGTTTTAATCAAAATTCTTTCTCCTGAATCAACCAGAAGAATTCTAGAACTGCGAAATTTTTGTTGATTTTCATAAAATTTAATTAGTTAAGAAATTTTTCGTCTTTAATTAATGCAAAAACTTTTCTTTTTAATTATTAAGATAATGAAATTTTTTTTAAATAATTTTTGGTTCATAAATGTTTTTTTTTTTTTTTAAATCAAGTTAATTTTTTTCAGTATTTATTCAAGAAAATAATTATTAAGAATTTGATAAATAATTAGTTAAAAAACTATTATGCTTAACTTACTCCCAAAAACTAAATTAGCAAAATTTTAACATATTAAAATAGTAAATATGAACAATTACATAAAAATGAGTAGTTTTTAAATAAATATATTAAAAATTTAGTAAGCCTATAGAATTTCCTTTTGAATTACTCATTTTTTGCTAATTAATTCAATTTATTAAATTTATATGAGGCTATGTCAACAATTATTTCATAAAATTGATCTTCTTATTTGTATCACAATGACTCTGTAGTATGTCTAACTAACAAGAGGTTACTAAATTGAGTAAATACACAAAAAATGATTCATCTTATCACCTCGAATTATTTTCAATAAAGCCAATCGATCGCAAACACTACTTATATTATTACGGAATAATAAACAAAAAAACAACTGCGTAGGTAGAAAAATATCTATATATTCAGTGCAATATATTATTTCATCATGCTCCCTCTTATATCTGACCCTCACGCGAAGTTGAGTTGAATTTTTCTCGCTACAGCCTTTTTTTCCTATTCTCATTTTTCTTATTCTCTCGTGATATCCTTGAACGGGGATTCCGAGAGAAGAGATCGACGCAGTTTCGCTGTCATTCACGGCTTAACCCAAATATTCAACCACCTAATATATATATATAACGCTCATCCCGTGCCAATGTCATCTGTATCTTGCTCCGAACTCCGACGATTTACTTTTTCACTCTCCTACAACTTGTCGGATTTATCACCGGTATTTTTCCTCCTGGAAACAACAAATATTAAAAAATTTATCGAGCTTTTTTTTCCTCTTTGCTTTTCTTCATCTCCCTCCTTCTCTTCTTTCTCTTTTTTTATATCAATAATTAATAATAAATGAGTAGTAAAATAACTTATTCATGAGCATTTTTAATTCAAATTGTTAATTTAAAAGCATTGAATAATTCGTGAGCTATGAGCACACGGAAAAAAAGTGCTTGATTTAAGATGAAAATTCTTGAGCCAAGAAAATTATTCTGAAGAGTTTGTTGTGAATTAACATAAAAAATTATTGAATTTTCTATTTAAATCAAAACGATGAAACTCTTTAAGATGAATTTTTTTTTATTCAAGAATTTTTATCTTGAGTCAAGTTAATTTTATTTCAAGTGTAAGAATAAGACTAAAGGATAAGAATCAAGCTGAGGTTGCCAGATCTCCATAAGAAGAATAAAACTCAACAATTCTTAAGAAATTAATTTCACGTGAGTTACTCTTTGTTGGTGTGCCTGTAACAAGTGCTTGAGCTCGCAGCGACTTAAAGTCTCAGTAAAAAAAGTTCTTGTACCCGAGAAAGCTCCAGGAACTTATAAAACAAGAGCTCGAAGTAGAAATGAACGCGCTCGCGCACAAGGGTCCTCGAAAAATACGCTCTTACGCTGTAAGAACAAGCAAAAGTCCTCTCACATCACGTCCTACATCCTACATCTGTATATTTATTCCTCCTCTCGACTTGCGGGGACACTCCATACCAGAACTTGCAGGACGTAATTGTACATACATATATATACACAAATATATAGGTACACAAAGTGCGTAACCCGGTAGAGCCTATTAGCGCGATAGAGCAGAGCGGAAAATATCTCAGGACTCGCTCGGTCTCGCTCTACAGAGTGCTCTGGAGTATTGCGTAGGGGTGCACGAACGCATATAATATAATGGAAGCCCTTCAGGCATCCTTGCCCTCCAACCCCTTTACCTCGTCCAGGGTATATTCACCCATATGCACACTGTTAAATCAATCTATATACATATTCACACATTTCTATTATATGCATGATACACTGCATATATGTACAGAGCACGTGCATTGCGAGCTATTACTATCACTGTCCTAACGATGATCAATGTACGTCACAAGTTTTTTCACTTACTGTGGTATGCGTACTTACCCTCGCACACTGAATCCACCCTTCGGCAGGTGGGGAATACCAAGGGGAGGGCTTTCTGATTAATACCAAAAGTGCATAAATATATCTACGCTGCACGAGCATGTGTGCAAATGAATCAGGTATAAGTATTGAAGTACTTCTATGGAAAAACGCATTCAATTGCAACCGATAGCTTTTTACGAGTTTTTACCTTCGATGTTTTTTTTTTTTTTTTTTAAATTAAAATAGACTTTTTCTGAGAATTAATGATTTTTTAATGAGGATACAGTTTTACCGGTGTATTAATTATATAGCTATTTCTTTTAATAAAATATTTTAATGATAAATATTTTATTTTATGAAGGCTTAGACTTGTTTTTTTTTCTGTTATTGTTGAATTTTTTAGTGCTTTTTAATTAAGTAAACATAATTTGATATTTTTTTTGAAAAATTTTTTTGTTAACATATTTTATTTTTATTAATTTAAAGTGTAAACCTATTTATTAAAAAACAATGAAAGAAAAAAATTTAAGAAATTTCAATGACTATGTTTTGAAATGAATTTAATTTGCGAAAAGTATAATAATTTAAAAAAGAACTATTTAAATTATAAATTTCTAAAAATTGTACGAAAAATTAAAACTGAGTAATTTGTTATCGTTAATTAAAATAAAAAAATGACTTGCAAAGGCAAAGAAAGTAATAGTCGAGTTGTGTATTTTTAACTCGAGAGTAAATCGTCCTATTTTCCAAGCCTTTGATGATGATGCTCATTGGTTTGTTCACCTCATTCTTAAAGCTCCAACACTGTATCCACGGTGATCCCCTGCCCTGTTATTCTGTACAGTTCTCTGCAGTGCCTCATACTCAGTAGAGAGTAGAGGCTCTACTACATGCTATGCAGAGTCCTTGGTTGCGTGTACGTCGGGATAAAAAAGATTGTGCGAGTGAAGTGGCATCGTTGCGACCCGGACTCTCGAGCTTGGGCGCCCATCTAGTGGAAAACGGCGAGGGTCGCCAAAGTAAAGCTCTACCACGGAATCGCGGAGGTGACCGATGCGTAATAAATAAAAGCAAGCTGGGGTTCTTTCACCACCACCATTTTCCCCGCCACATACATACATACGTACATCCATAAAAGCAATAATAATAATAACATGTAGTTTAAGTTATGTGTCACTCGTTTCCTCTTTTTCTATCTTCTAAGTGAATTTTATCGTTCACCGAGTTTTTCCGTACGAGAAAACTTAACCCGGTTTTTTATCTATTCTATTTTTAATTTCAGTGCATAAAAAATTTTCACATATTAGTCATTCATTTATTGGTTAATTAACATAAAAGACAATTTATAAATATGTTTATATGTAATTATGAAAAAGTTTTAATAGTTTTTTGTCACAGTTTTTGCGCTGTAGAAACTTTTTATTATTTTTAAAAATATTTTATGTAATGAAATGGTGGAAAATATTACAATGGAACTTTAACTCCATCTGTAGGTCGTAATCAGTATCACCCGACTCAGTTTTACCATCCGGCAAAATATCAGATAGTTCTAAATGGCGCTACCAAGTCGGGTTTAAATTAAAAAATGTTCGCGAATTTGTTTTGCTCATGATAAAACAGAAGTAACATATGTGTTTTGACAGAGCTTTTTTTATTGAAAAAAAAAAAAAAAGAAAATTACAGTTTTTTAAATTAAAAAAAGTAAGAATTATTTATCTGATAATAATTTATAATCATTTAACTGAGAAAAAAAAATACTTTTACTAAATAAACAATTTCTTGGTTCAAGAAATTCGATGACGATCAAATATTTTATTATTATTAATTATTAATTTCTGAAGAGAAGAGCATCAATATTTTATAAATTTATCTTTGGATAATATATAAACAAGAGAATAGCTTTATTTAAATTAAGTAAAAATTATTTCAATCAATTTAACAAGTTCTTGAGCTAAGAATATATTCTTGATAAAAGTATTTTTTTTTTCAGTGTAGAATTTAAATTCCACAGGAAAAAAGTTAATTATAATAAATAATGACCAATCTATAATAAATTCTACTTCAAACATTAAGATTGTGATTTTAATAATTAATTTTTTATTTTTAATAGTATAATTTTACAATCATTCGCTATTGTTGGCTACCTATTTAAAACAGCAATTTTTTTTTAAATACACAACACATGATTAAAAGTCTTCGGTTGACTTATAATCCTCATAATTCTAAGAATTGTCAAATGTAAGAATTTATTGTTAAAAGAATTAAATTTTCTTAATAATTAATTTTGTTACATTAAAAAATTTGTTTTATACATTGAAAGAAAATATTATTATTACTGTAACATATTTATATTTTTCAAAGCTTGCTCAAAAAACTGTAACAAAAAATAACTTTCATTTTTTATAATGGCAATATTAAAAATTATTATTTGCTCAGAACTGAAAGCAACATATGAATTTATTTATGCTTGTAGAGCACTTAACTTACAAATATAAACATAAAAAAAAATTAATAATGAATAAAATAAAAGTAAAATGATTGATGACACATCAGTTTGGATATTGACTTGTAGAGTGACTCATTACAAATACAAATTATGACTGTTTTTGTTGGTGAAAAGTTGTCGAGTCAGCCTAATGCTCGAAAATTACTATTACTATTTTTGTTATTATACAATAATAATAATAATTATTATTATTATTATTATTATGAATATTACTCAGATAAACTTCAACAATAGAGCGAACGTTGAAATAATTCAAGTAATAGCAGACTTATTGCAAGAAAGCAACCGGTTCAGTGTCATCACTCATGTATTATTCATCTTCCGCTCAACACCTTTCTCTTGGGCCCAGATATCCGCGAGTCATTGCACTGTCTGCTTCACACTTTGCAGGAACACGTTCGGCCGGAAATGCATTTAAAAAAATAAAACAAAAAGGTAACGATAAAAATGGTCATTATGTAATTTTACTTTTTTTTTTGGACGGAATAAATTTTCTGGCGTTTCGACTGTGGACTCCGGAATTTCTGAGCCAGCTTTTCGGGAATAAATTTACATTTACATTTACAATTATAGTAATAATAAATGGTGAAGTTATTGTTAAAAATTAGGAGTAATTAGACACGAACAGCCGTGAGGAATCCAGAAGAGGTCGGTGTAAAGGCGATCACCGGAACCTTCTAAAGCAACTAGACGTTTTTGGACGTACTTTTGCTCACACCTACTGGTGTATCCTAATGGCAAGCTGCATATTCCATTGCACGTTGTTGTTCTGAAAATTTTTAAATAATGTTTTTTATTTAATTAATAATTATATTATAGATTGTTAATTGAACATTAATTGAATTTATAATTTTTTCAAAAGTGAATTGACAAAATTAATTAATTTTTATTTAAAAAATAATTCAAGAAGGTTCATCAATGCATTCTTTTAAAAATTAATAATTAAAGCTTTTTCTTAATTTATAATTAATAAAATTTAATTAATGAGTATATTTTGAATATTAACAATTGAAATACATTTAAAAAATGGATAATTTACTTAATTATAATTACTATTTTTATATTAAATAATGCACAAACTTGATTTGTAGTAAATTATCAAAAATTTAACACAGATTATTTTTTTTTTTAAGTTATTAACATAATTGCTAGCAATCTTTTTTAAACGCATGTATTATTGTGGTTTCGTTATATTAAAAGAATACAATGAATTTTTTAGGTACAGCTGTCCTATTACTGTTGTCCAAATATTATTGTACTTGAGCCGACAAAAATAATGTATCGTCATAGTCTAATTATTGGTTTTAGTTACTTAATTGCTTCATTTTATATATGTTTACACTGAAAAAATGTAACAAAAAAAAAATGAAAGAACAGACAAGATAATTATAAAATAAGGACTAAAAATTGAACTAAGATTAATTTATTTATTTTTTTATATCAATCAAAATTGCCTAAATATTGTCGTATCGATTCTATAAAACGAGAATAAAATTTTAATTGTCAAACAAAAAACTTACCGGCAAATTTCACTTTTAATTAATTGCGAATAATTGTCACGTGTATGAGGGATATTTACGATATACATCCAATTCCCTTTATTATTCAATCCAGCTCGTGGTGTAATGTAATTCGACTCAGTGGGACAAAGATCTATGTCTTTGGGGTTCGCTTGTCGTTTCTTGAAATTTTTTTGAGCGACATCCAAAAAAGAATTCTCGCGAATTGAGCGCCTATTTTGGTGATCTTGTCTGAAAATATTCAGTCAATAAAAATAAAATGAATATTATTATTATTTATAATGGTACCAAAAATTACCCAACTGGCGCCCAAGGCTCCTGATTGAATTCATAAGGATTTAACTGCCTGGAGTTTTCCGTTTCTTCTTTCTCGGTAGCATCTGCGCTAAATTGGTTCGTTTGAGGTACAGGTAGAGGGTACATGTACCTGGAAATAAATCAGATAATAATAATTAGAATTATAAATTTAAATAAAGTAAAAATTAAATCATTTATAAAAGTTAAATATAAATTTTTTAAAAATTAATTTTATTCAAAAGAAAAAAAATCTAAAACAAAGAACGTCATTTTGAATCAAGCAAAAATTTTTTTGAACTAAAAAATTGATATTCTTGTTTCAAAAAAATTTTCTTTTTAATTAAATTAAATTTTTTATCAGTGTAAAACTCACCCCTTGTCTGAAGAATTGGTTGGCTGAGAAGGAAACGGATACTGAGGTGCTAATAAAGTGACAGGTTGGTAAAAATTTTGGACTTCTGGTTTTGGATAATTGTACCCACTGTACTCAGGCTTCAGTTGGTTAGTAATAATTTCCGTCTGCGCTTCATCTCTGAGTATCGTTGCAAAGTTGTAGGTGCATTTTTCGACCAAAAATTTAATCAGTTGCCTGTATTAAAAAATTTTGTATTATTGACTTTCAAAATCAAAACAAAAAAATTTATTTTCTAATTCTGTAAAAGAATTATTCAAAACTATGACATAGAAATTGAAAAAAAAATGCAAGTTAAGAAAGTGAAGTTAATTATTAAAAATTCTTGGTAATCGGTAGTGTAAATTTGAACGACTGACGACTACTCATCGCAATTGTGAATAAAAGCTTATAAATAAAATAAAAAAGTAGTAACAGAGTTTGTCTTTACAAACAAACTTTCTCTGGATACTCAGGAGACAGAATCACGTCAATAGGTCGTAATTCACATGTTTAATTCATAATCCACGCCTGTTTTCTAATTCGCGTTAACTGTTATTTATAAACACACATCTTCTGTAGTATATTTTAGTCTATTTTATTTTTAAATCAGCATAAATAAAGTAAATATATTTCTAGTCTAAATGGACATGACCTCCAATTTAAATGTTGTTTTTATTTATTCGCAACACATAAATATAATAAAACACACAACATATTCTACCTTTCTTCTTATTATACATGCGCTTACCTCATTACATTTGGTACAATGAATAAAATCTACGTTTCTCGAATATATAAATTTTTTAGAGAAAAATAAGTCAAGTTTAATAAGTAAATCAAAAAAAATAATAAATGCGGGCAACTGAGAGCTTAATCACCTGTGACATCATCACGCAGTAATTAAAGAACTGTTTTTGGCAATTGAGGAACAGGTGCTAGCACTAACCTACTTAAGGATATTATTTAATTTTAATTGCGATAAATTAAAATTATCAGACGCAGTAATTAAAATTAAATAGTTTCTTATTATATCACACTGTAAAAAATTTGTCGAATGAATTATTTTCAATTTTTAGTAAAATTGACTCTGAAAAGGATTTTATTTACATTATTAATAAAAAAAAACTAGTTGTTTATCAGTTAAAAATTATAAAATGTGTATTTTTGTCAAAATTTTTTATAAAACTGAATATTTGTCAAAATTTAAATTTTTTCCATACTGACTAAAAAAGTTTTTTTTTTTTATTTTAATATTTTTATACAAACCAAAAAAAACTGACTCATAAAACTTCTTTCACTCCGTTGAAAAAAAACTCCAGACTTACTCCTTACACGGAGCGTTTTATTGCTTCAATTCTGTACTCCGAGTGATGAGAATAAAATTCACTCCTGATTTTTTACAGTGTGTATGTTGGAAAAAATAAATAAAAATAGTGGTTATATTACTGAGGATAATGATCGAGCGACTCGCAAACGGTTTGTCCAGGCTTGGCACAGCGAGGCGTATGCCCAGGCGGTGCAGGCACGAAGGGCTCGTAACGAGGCTGATAGGGACACCCGTAGGAGTCGCAGGGTTGCCGCCAATTGCCCCTCGCGACATTCGCCACCAGCATCTGTAACACGTAATGTAACGGATAGTTCAGTAGTTTACTATTAAATATACAGCAGTCAGTCATCCAAGAAAACAAGTAGGTAGTTGGAGTACATAGTACCGGAGAAAAGTTGCGTGATTGTGCTCAGCTGAGCATAAATTTTCGCCGAGGAATTAAGATCATTACCGTCAACAAATTAAAGACTTACGTTTAAATTATTTTCGCTTGTTATCTATTAAATTACTGCTATTACATCGGATTATGTTTATTGTTTCATCAGCGCACTATTTTATTATCAATACCTGTTATTATTTCAACTACTTACTGGACCCTTTCATTATTGGTGTAATTGTAATTGCTTGTAAGACAATTGGGTATTAATTTTTATTTGTTGAATTTAAAAAGTTATGATTCAGCTCCTATTCATATAAGTGATTGTGATTTTTTTTCTTATTTATTAATGTATTTTTTTTTTTTTTTTAATTTGAATACATAACTTTTTTTTTACTCTTAAAAATTTTAGTTTTCAAATAAATTCATGAATTTTTGTCAATAATTTACAATCAAAAATTTTGAATTCAATATAAAAGAAAAAATCAATTAAAAAAAAAAGAAGTTTATCTTTTTATAAATTTTCAACTTTTATAAATTATCGAAATTTAGTTCACTAAAAAAAATTGAATTTAACTTAAGATTAAAATTATTGAACGCAGAGAATCATTTTGAAGAGTTCAATAATTTTGATTCACGCAAAAAAATTATTGGACTAATTCATTTTTTTAAATAAATTTTACTTGATTTTTGTTTAAGAATTTTTCTCTTAAATTGAGCTTAATTTTTTTCCGTATGATCGACAAATTTTAATTAAATAAATTTTTTCTAATATTCAAACTTCATAATTATTTTTTTACATAATTCAAATTATTAAATTTCAACAAATCAATCACATATAAACATAATTTTTCTCAATTAATAATTATCTATTTTTCTTTACAATAAATTTACTAAAGCTCCGTTTTTTTACAATCATAAAAAAAGAGATTAATTTATCATAAATAATTAATTTTCTACTCTAATTTCATACCAACGGGACTCATTATCCCCTTATAAAAATATCAATTACTAAAATCAAATATTGCTTAATAAATAACACCAATTATACTTTACAACCGTAATTATCAATCTAAACTCCAATGATGTAGAAATAATTGAAATGTAATTTCATCAAGAGATTGGTATCAAACTCGAGTAATATAAAAATAAAAAAAATAAAATTAACTCTCTCTACCAAATAAAATAAAAAAAAATTGCGTATTATATATAATAGACCGCAGGCTTTTTAAAACCCGCAATCCATCTAATCGCGTATAGAACGATTAATACGTTCGTCAGAAGTCAGCACAATCACTGGCTCTATTATCGTACAGCCGCTTCACAAACAAACAGCCTTAATAATAAAAAAGAAAAAAAAATAAAGATAAATACAAAGCCATAAGTAGACTCTCATGTACTTTCAAAAAATACATTGATAACCATCAATTCTAATGCGTAATAACGCTCTGCTCCGCTGCCTCTATATCTGCAACAAACCCCAAGAGCCTCTCCATCTAATCACTCACAGTAATAATTAATTAATCCTTACCAGCGTCGACATAAACGTCAAAACCCTCATTGTAATTTCTTGAATTAATATTGTAAAAATATTGAATTTTATAAAATCACACAAAAGAAAAAATGAATTTATTGCACATTATTTTGCAACTTGTCACTCTTATGAACAGGGCGACAAATGAGATCAGAGATTAATTAATCAGCATATTTATTATTGGTAATTATTATTAATTACACACTAATTTTCACAAATAAATATTTGTATTTATTAAAAATTTTTGAATTTAAGGTAGTGCCCTCACCAGAGGCGTTTTCTTAGGAATTTTTTTAAATTTTGGCAGATTAATATTTATATAATTCTGCATCGATAGACGCAAATTGAAATTTTTTGACCATCTAGTTTCAGAGATATTTAATTTCAAAGTTCGAATTTTTAGAGGAGGTTATGCACTGTGATATACGGGATACCGAAAATTTTACTCGTATATTTTATTATAACTAAGAAACTTTTTTTAAGATTTTCATAAAAAACTAAACTACTATTAAAAAACAGCTATTATTTGTTTTTTTCAAACTTTCATTGATTTTTACCATCTAGATTTTTAAATATTATTAAAAAATAACTGTATTATTCAAAAATAACCATGAGTAGAAGTGAGTAAGGAATAGCAAGTGAGAAAGACAAAAATATCCTAAACTATACCCAAATTTACTCGCACTATATGTCGCGAGGGTACTACCTTAACTTTTTTAAGACACGTGGTCTGAAGTTTGAATTTAACGTGGATTGACTCGACTCGCGCCTAAGAGGAGGAGGACGAGACTGGACGATTTGGAGTCTATCGTAGACATGTACAAAACGTTTAGTTACATGAGAGGTGCGAGAGAGCATGTATATATTTTATAAACACCAGGAGGGGCTCGAGAATATAATACAATATTACTTTCTCTGGTCAATGTAGATAAAATTTTTTATTTTTTTTTCAGTTATTATTATGTAGTAATGTTACTTAATTAAATATTTAATGAGTCACTAATCATTGATGACCTTGTGTTCGAATTCGCTACAGATCTCAAGTGATTCATGACCTTGTTTCATTTTCAATTTAATTGTTTGCAGTTTCAAAAACTCGATATAATTTAAAATGTACTTGAATGTGCAGCAATGGTTAAAGAATAAAGCATAAAGGAATAAATTTAACAAAAAACTTATTAATTTCAGACGTGAATAATGCTCAATGACATGTGTATTGAAATATTAGATTATCAAGTTACAGATTACAGATTTGTACGTGACAGCTGTGTATGCAACTGCAGATGTACTAGATACCAGTAGCCTGGAGCCATTATTTATTTTGTTTGGGTTATTAATATTGCATGTGAGTACGCAGTTAAAAAAAAAGAAGCGATTTTTTTTACTAATTATTCGAAGCAAATTTCTGTGACGATATTTTAATTTTTTTAATTATATATTATGTCTGGTAATGAATTTATTTAAATAATTTTTTATCTTTGTAAATGAACGTCATATAATTTTACAAATTTAACTATGTAAAAATATAGAAAAAGGTTTAAATTAAAAATATCATTTTATTTACTAAAACTCCAAAAATTTTTTTCAAGATCACGAAAATTTTTTTGAGTTTGATTTTTTTAATAAAATTTGATTTTTTATTTTGTAAAAAAAAATTATTAATTTTAATAAGTTGATTTTAAACTTACAAAGTAATGTAATTTTACTATGCATCAATTATTAATTTTTTTTTTCGTAAACTCGATATTTAATTTAAAAATTTAATTTGTATACTGAAATGTTTCTAAATTTATAAAATTTTTTAACTTGTATGTATGTTTTTTTTTTTTACTTTGCTGAAAATATTGTTTTCATATATATTATGTGGTAATAGTTGACGATAATGGTGATGATAGATGATGAATATTTATTATTTTTATTTTGTATAAAGCCGAAGTTGAATGGAATTATAGTCAAGTTAAAATGGACTGTTTAGTTTGTCACTTGTTGCTTTGACATTCAGATTTATTTAAATGCAATCTAAGACAAATGTACAATGCTATCTGATTAATCTTCATCGGATCTCTTTAGTTTATTTCCATTCAAGCAATGAATAGACGCTGCTTTGATAAACGGCTTGCAAGAATTTATTTATATTATATAAATCATTTTTGTTAAACAAATATTTTTTATTGCATGTTACCTTTTCAATTTTATCTGATTTGTTAGATAAAAATTTTATTAATTTAAATAAATTTTTTGAAAAAAAATCAAGCTTTTATTATTTCAAAAATAATTACTCACATTTACTGAAATTCAAATTACTGATTTATTTAAAGAATTAAATACACAAAATTTAAATATAATCTATTGATATTTTAAATATATCAACAAAATATGCTTACAAAAATTCTTTAAACGAACTATAAAAATATTGAAATAAAAATTTCAAAACAACATGATTTTAACAAAAATTTTTATAAAAAATATAAAAATATATGGAGAAAATTTTGAACATTTCGTTATAAAATCTCATAATATTTTAAATAAATCAACAAAATATGCTTACAAAAATTTTTTAAACCTAAACTATAAAAATTTCAAAATAACATTATTTTAACAAAAATTTTTATAAAAAGTATAAAAATATATGAAGAAAATTCTGGACATTTATTTGAGATCGTATGAATCATAACAATAATAATTGTTCAACTTAACCCGATAAAACTCGGCTAGGTAATCTCTTATCCAAGTAACTGGCTCAGAGTCCAAAATTTTAGTTCCTTTAAGATCAAAATAATGTTTGCAGCCGAACGCGTGTTCAATGAGCGCGTCATCAACAATTGCGATCGGATAGTTCAAATCTTGCCAGTGTTTCGTCAGAGCAGTTTTCAACTTGTACTTCGTATGTCCCACGAACACATAATCGCACTCAGAACAAGGAACTGCATAAATAACGCAGGATTTTTCATAAGCCGGAAGCGAATCTTTGTGTCCTCTAAAAAGCCAGGACAAATTATAAGAGTTTTTAAAACTGAGGCAAATATTGAATTTGCGCATCGCTATCTTCAGTGACTCTGACAAATACTTAACATATGGCAAGCAGACGGATTTCTTCTCCACTTTTACAATATTACCCTTCTCAACAAGTGCGGCATTGTCAATTTCTTTAGCCGCTAAATTTCGTAACCGAAATCTTAATTGCGTGACCCGTCTGTTGATAACATCCTTGATCAATTTTATCGGGTAGTTATTGTTGAGCAGCGACTGTCTCACGAACGCCAAATTTTTCAAGTGAAACTTGTTCTCAGCTAGCAAAACAGCCTTGTCAATTAATCCCCGTATCATGCTGACTTTTTGCACCAAGGGATGATGAGACTCGAAGTTCAAGTATCTCCCAGAGGCCGTAGGTTTTCTGTACCAGTCAAACTCAATTCTGCCAGTGTCGGTGCGGATTAAAGTAAGCTCCAAAAAATTAATCCGGGAATTTTCCTCGCGCTCGACAGTAAACCGCAGCCTGTTGTGGTAGCTATTGAAAGTTCTTAGCGCAGACTCAATTTTGTTTTTCGGCAAAAAAGCCAAAATATCGTCGACGTACCTTACGTAAAAGAAGATATCTGGAGCAAGTTTACAGAGACACTCGTCCTCCAAATCTTCCATCACGATGTCGGCCGCTACTGGCGATAACGGCGAGCCCATTGCCGCGCCAAATATTTGCTGGTAGAAAAACTTGTTAAACAGAAAAGCAGAAGAAGTGAAGCACAGCTCAATCGCTTCGATAAACGATTCCAAATCTATGTCAGTGTAGCGTTTTATCACGTTCCATCGCTTTCTAATCCCTTGTTTCACCAAATCCAAGGGTACGTTTGTAAATAACGAGACCACATCCATAGAAATCATCAAATAGTCTTTGGGTAAATCTGCGCTCGACAGTATTTTCTTCAATTCTAAACTATTTACTGCCTTGAATTTAATTTTCCGAAGGTTTTTCTTCTCGAGAGCGTCAAGCCCGGGCGAAGGATGTTTCAAAGCCGACTTCAAAATATCTTGCAGGTATTTCGCTAAATTGTAAGTCGGAGTATTGACAAAAGAGACAATTATGCGAAAAGGAACGTCCTTTTTGTGGATTTTTGGAAGACCGTAAGCGCGGGCGATTGTTCCGCTTTTTGATTGCAAGCGTCTTCCGATCAATCTGGGGATATATTCCTTTTTCCACCAGGACTTCACTAACTTGTTGACGTGCCACTGAAGGTGCTTCGTTGGGTCGTACTTTATAGGGCAGTATGTGTAAGGGTCGCTGAGTATATTCATCATTTTTGAAATGTATAAGTCCCGGCTGATTATCACAGTAACGTTCCCTTTGTCAGCTTTCAGAAATATAATGTCGGGGTTTCGCTTTATAAATTTAGAAGTCGTGTGAATCTTTCTTTGCAGCTCAATCGAGGTCTCTGGTAGTCGTAAGTAGTTATTTATTACATCTAAATAAGTAGCTCGCACAGCGAAGGAGTCTTCACGGGGTAAGTCCAAGATACTCAGCTCTAGGCTAGTCATCAGACGCTCCAGTGGAATTTGTCTGTTTTTGTGAGGAAGCCCGAAGTTCTTCCCCAGGCTGGCCAGTTCTAGGACTTCTACAGGGATTTGCTCGTTTGTCAGGTTGATTAGCCATTTTGATTTTCCGGTTTCTGGAGTTGTGATGATTTTTTTCTCAAGGATGTTTTTATATAAGTTTTTTATTTGTGTAGAGTTTTGACGCTTGATATCTTGGCATGGAGGCATTTTGCTCGGTCTTGTTAAGTTGAAAAAAAAAAAAAATAAATATTTAATATTAAAATTAGTGTTTTTTTGTGTAAAAAAAATTTAATTAATTTTTTTAAGCAATTATTTCTAGTATGTACATAAAAAAAAATGATTTTTTAGCACATTAAAAATAAAGTGACTCAATTTTTTGGCCGTAAAATTTATGTTTACAAAAGACGATCAAAAAATTAAGTAACTGCTGGTAAAATAAATAAAAAAAAAAAAAATTGTAATTTTTACGTGAATATTAGATTTTTTATGAACAAAATAAGTCTTGGCAAAATAAATAATTTGTTTATACCAACCACAAAAAATCTTATGGCCGAAAAAATTAACAACTTAAAGACTATAATTATGTATGTTAAATAACTTACGTATTAATTAATTAATCAATCAATTAACATTACATTTTTATAAATAAATGTATAATTAAAAAAATATTTTCACTAATATTGACAAGTAAAAATACGACGTCACTGAAATAACTGAAAATGTAAACTAAAATATGACTCTAAATATACTTAAAATTTATTTTAGTCTATCAATATAATCCGATTTAATTGTTAGCATATTTAAATCGCTGGGTTGTTTACTTACTGTACTGTTGATAAAATACCAGCTGAAGAAAATAAATCGAATTGGTGGGAAAATAAATATATATATTGATATTTGAAAAGTTATATTTTATTTTGTTACATTTGAAAAGTAACACTGAAAAGGCGTAGCATAAATTTTCACTTAAAAAATTATTAAATACTCTAAGATCGTAGTAAGTAATCGAATATATAAGGGAAGAACTTAAATTAAATTCCGTTACCATAAATAGAATAATTAATTTATCATGGTACTGATATATAAGAAACTGGCTTATACTTATCAACTATTTTTTAATCCTAACTATTCAAAAATACAATGGAGGGTATGTAAAATATTAAATTATTTAATTCTACCCTTCGACTCTTCTCTACAGTATAAATTCATCTTAAAACTCTTTTTTATTTTTTTAATACAATTAACATTAGCCTTTTCGATAATTATTACCAATTTTGGTAATGTTACTGTCAATTTATCATCAGTCTAATAAATCGTTCCCGATAAATTTAGATTAATTTTATATCTTAATGCCATCTGACGATCGGGAATGTTGGATTGTTAGAACAATAAATTAAACGAGTATTTATCTACTTATAATAATTAAGTATTTAACTACTTATAATAATTAATAATAATCATAATTGAAATCTTCAATTTTTTCTGATGTTAATTTAGATACAATAAATTAATTGTTATTCAATCCATCCCTTCAAAAATTTATTTTATAAAATTTTATTCCGATAATAAATTTATTCCCTGGAGAATATGAAACAGTGTTATAAAATTATTTAAGAGACGAATAAAAAAACTAGTTCTTTATCGTATACTAAACAATAATACATTAAAAAAAAAAAAAAAACTTCTTAAACTGAAAATTTTTTTTCTGTAATCAAGTTAATTTTTTTCAGTGTAAAGATGAATAATAAAGGTATTCCTTGAAAAAAAAAAATTTTTTTTTAACTTTACATAATTTTATTTCAATTCTAATTCAAATTTCATTGAAAATTTTCTGTAAAAAATTATAAATTAAGGTCAATTTTGTCAGTATTTTTTTTTCAACAGTCTAAAATATTTTGTGATCAACAATAAAAATTATTTTCAAAGGAATATCTTAAAAGAAAATAAAATTAATAAGTAGATTGAATAACTTACTCATAAAAAGAATAATTACGGTAAAAGACCCCATTAGTGGTGGGGATCCCATTACTGACAGTTTTTTTGATTTTGGTACTTATTCAATAAATCAAATCATTAATTTCTATTATGAATATATCTCGTTCCAAATGCCATAAGAGCGTATAAAAATTTTTTTTTTTTCGTGAATCAACTTATTTTTGAATGAAACGTGCAGAAATGCAAAAAAAAAATTTCTCCAAACTAAAAATTTTTTTTGGACTTGGAAAAAAAAACATAATTTTTATTATACGCCTTTATGGCATCTGTAAAGCGATATTATTTCTAATCTTTAAGAGCTTTAGATCAAAAAAATTTTTAATTTTTCATTGAAAGAAAAATTGCCACTAATAGGGCTTAGAGGTGCCACTAATGGGGTCTTTTGCCTTATAATTATTATGTTAGTATATAAAAAAAAAAAAAAAAAAATGGTTAAGACACATCTGAAAAAGTAAATAATTCTACATCTGGGGTAACTGATCGATAGGCGTCACAAATTTGAAATCTTCGGGGAAGAGTTTTGCCGCATATGGATACATTAGTTTGTAAGATTGTCTGATGGTAACATCAGCGACTCCCGCGATATCGCCGATCTCTTTTTGGGATTTCTTGTCTTCCGAAGCTTGGGAAGCCATATAGATGGCAGCGGCAGCGACTGAGATCGGAGATCTACCGGGAACAATGTCGAGCTCGACGGCTTTCTTGGCGATGTACGTCGCGGCTTTCTGAACCGAGTTCGGCAACTGGAGATTCGCGCAAAATCGCGACATAAAGTCCCCAGTGGTAATCAGATCGACACTGGTCTCCAGCGCCTTGAGGATGAGCTTGAAGCATCTGCCGATTTCCTTCTTGCTTATTTTGCTCACGGCACAAATTTCTTTGAAGGTTCGCGGCACGCCGGCTTGCCGACACGCGATGTACAAGCAGGCAGAGGCGATCGCATCGTTTGAGCGACCTTTCAGGTTCTTTCCGTCGTGGACTTGCTTGAAGAGAGTCTCCGCGCGATCCACTATCACCTTCTGAAGGTTTATTCGGTCCGCCATACCGTTTATCTCACGGAAGGCGTTTATTAGTGCGCGATCGGAGCTGCTAATCTGTAAAATTTTTTTTATTAATAGATGAAACTTTTTTTTTGTAACTCCTGCTTCCAAAGCTCAACATTCGAGCCTTGCTCATCAAATGCAAAGTTGCGTATTCTCGTGATGGTTGCATACACTATAGTAGCGTGCGGGAAAGTAGGCGGAGTCAAACTTTCCAACTGCTTGACCGTGCGGGAATGAAAATTAACTACAATAAATGTATAAGATTCATAGAATGTATATGTCCGCCACTACCACTACAAATCAAACTATCAAGCATACTGAGACTAATTCTAGCGCCTGCGCATACCAAATAACCACACATGAATAGCAGCTTGTCGATCATATGTTCAACTCTGTGCAACTACTAACCATAACTGCGTGTATTATTTATATTATTTATAATTTTTTGGTAACTGATATAGTTCAGCTAATTACAATATTACTTTGTAAATAATAATTTCTCTCTTTTGAACTTTGAAAGCAGTCGTTACAAAAAATATTGTTCGATACATATATCCCAACTGAGGCATTCACAGGGCTTAATTGAGACACTCGCCAAAAGAAACGACACGTTTACAATGAGACCGAGTACGCTTACCCCCACTCGCCTAACGGCTTGTGGGGGTAATCTGCGTACTCGGCCCCATTGTAAACGCGCCGTTCCTTAGACTCAATTTTTAAGCCCTGGGAATGCCTCACTTCGCACATATGTATCGAAAATATCTATTATCGCTTATTTTTTTTTTTTTTTAATAATTTTCATGGCAAGTGTACTTACAGAGCGTCTGTTTTGATAACGTGGAGATCCGAATGCATCAAATGAAGCGGCACCCGTTCCAGGACCGATCATTGTTGATAAATCTGAACCACTGAGCAGAGGATTTTCGGGACCACCAACACGAGATGGATCTACGCCCGATTTTTCGTTACTGAATGTCCTCCATTCGGAACCAACATCAATTACTCTATTAAAAATAAAACATTGATAATTTATTATTTTTATTTAAGAAGTTTAAAAAAATTACAGAGTTGGCAAAAGGAACTGGGATAAAACTTAAGAGCCTGGGCTTTAAATCTCTAACTTGCTAATTAAAATAGACCCTGTCTCGTTATTCCCACATCATTATCATTGTCATTGTTATTATAATTTACATACAGAGATCTACATATATATTTCTCTTTTAATTTTTATATTTACTGTATATATTTCTTCCCCTTGCTAAAAACAAATGCAATTGTTTAATGCAATAAATAAAAAAATTAAAGTTACCAATTTAATTTTTTTACTCTATTAAAAATAAAACATATTTTTAATTTATTATTCTTATTAAAGAAGTTGAAAAATATTAAAATTAAAAATGTAATTTTTTTTCTGATAGAATAAAATGAAATTTAATTTTATTGATTAGTTGCAATGTTTCTTAATTTATTATTGTTATTTTGATCACTTATTTATCTTTAAAAAAATATATAATAATATCAATGAATTATGTACAATAATAAAATTTATGTTACATTAAAAAATTTTTAAAATTTCAGATAATAATTATATTCACTTACAAGTTATTAAAAATAAATTTTGGATTTGAATAAAAGAAATGGCGATAATAATTGCTATGATAATAAATGATTAAAATCATCATAATTACTTATCAGTATATTAAAAATAATTGCCTGTTAGATAAGCTAGACACACGGAATCATTTCTAATATTGTTTTTGAAACGTAATACAAAACAAAAAAGTTGAATTTATTTTTTTTTAAAGATAAATTTAATCTAAAATTAATATTTTGATAAATAAACAGTTATATTTTTTATATTATGACTTGTGGAAGTATCGATTACAACACATGATTTTTTAAAATCTTATTTATAAAAAAAAAAAAAAAATATAATTATTTAAGAAAAGACATTTTTCAATTTTCAGTTTCTGTAAAAATAATTTCGTCATTTTGGTAAGTAAATATTTTATTAATTAATTAAAATCAATCCCGATCCAAGTAAATTTACTTCGGGTTTTAAATAACATAAAAAGTAAATGTGAACTTGAAATAAAATAAATTCATAAGAGTGATAAAAAATAAATAGTAGCGTGAAGGATAATTGGAATGTATAAAATAACGAGTTGCGATTACAAATATACATATTTGAAATATTCATGTTGACGTTTTTCTATCCAAAATATAACTCGGCTTTACTCAAGGAAAATTTTAAAGCCTAGAATTTTGGAAAACTGGAATTTAGGGTACGAGTAAGCGGATATTAATACTCGCCAAAAGTATTTCCAGAGCTGAATGGATGTCTTGATTTGAAGTAGTCAAAATATGAAAATATAATTTAATTAGGTAGATTTATTTTTACCTGTCACCGACTACAAGTCCGCATTTAGAACATATCATATCACCAGCGCGGTAATCTTCTATCAGAGGATCATCTGGATGCTCGTAGCAACAAACTTTGTTAGCTTCGTTCCTTTAATTAGATTATATTCGTTAGTTACAACAATTGTGGTAATAAAATAGGTAATTCATTTTTATTGATCAAACTTTTATTGATTTTAATAGTTTTTTTTTCCTTATTAAACTCAAAAAATTTCGAGCAATAAAGATAATAATACTAATAATAATTTTTGTTACAAATTTAACAGCTCATAAATAATATTAAAATTAAGAGACTGATAAATTAAAAAAATTTTTCAACCAATAAATTATTATAAAAAAAATTTTTTTAATTGATACAAAAATTAAAAAAAATTGTGAATGCAACTTTTTTTTAATTAATTTTCATAATTATAATTCATTGAATAAAATGTAAAATTGTCAAGTGTCTAATTAATTTTAATACTGTAAAGTATAAAATTATAAACAGCTGTTTTATTTGTAATATATATTAAAATTAATTTAGCAGCCATTTGATAATTTTAATTATATTTATGATAAATAAATTGTGGTAAAAAAAATTAAAAAAAAAAAAAAAATTGACATGTAGAAATTTAAAAAAATTAAAAAATGCAATTTTTTAAAAATCATTTTTTGGAACAAATTTTTTTGTTAAATAAAATTAAAAAATTGTCAAGTGACTGCTAACTTTAATATCATGTAAATTATAAATAAATTATAAAATAAAAAATCTTAAAATTAGCATCAAGTATTTATTTAAATTTACAAATTAATAATATTCATCTAAAAAAAGTTATTAAGGAGGTCCTTTCGCCGCTAATGTAAAATAAAAAATATTAGATTATGAGTAAATTCAGTTTTTTTCTAATAGTTAAGGTCCTTATTTATTTAATAGTGAGGTTTAAATTATACTTTACTGGACAAATTTTTGAAAAAATAAAATTTTTAAATGTTAGTATTTGTTCAGAGTCTTACGAGAAAGTCAGACGTTTGCGGTATTTCTCGAATTATACTATCAGTCATGGATTACATGAAGTAAAGAAAAACTAAAAATTAGATTTTCGAAATATTCAGGTTTCTTTTTTTGTAATAAAATATATCAGTTACCGAGATATTTATTGAGAAATTAATATTTTAAAATCACAAAAAATTCTCAAGTAACCTACATTAAAATGGAATCAAAACATTTGGCAACATTTCGTAGCGCGCGAGCTTCAGACCATTTAATAAATTCAAACTAATTTATTTATTTACACTGACTGCAAAAATTTAAACGTGGTTAAGGTTATATTGTGCAAATGAAAATGTAAACAATCGAAGTACAGCGTTGCCAAATCACGGACAGATTACTAGCAACTGATTTGAAAGAGTCAAATTAATTTTTGTATTTAACTATTTTTTTTTTTTATTTTTAAAATTTCAACGATTAATGCCTCATATACTATTTATTATTTAATTTTAGGAATTTTTATGGGTTTTTTATTTTAATTTATCGTATATTGACTACTACAATTGTTTTGACTCAACTGGAGCGAAAGGATTTCCTTAATTGTAACACAAATTTTATAAATTATTTTTTATTCTTGAGTGATTTTTAAAATAAAAAATATTAGAAGTCTACAATGTGTCATCAGCTCTAAGTAATAAAAATTAATTGACCAATTACTTAATTGTTAAGCGTTCTATTATTATTAATTATGACACTTTCAAATCAATAATAGATGACAAATAATAAAAAAATATTTCAAGTGTAAGAAAAAAAATAAAAACAAAACATAACCTATTAATTGATTTGTGTGCCATGATATATTTATCTATTTAAAAATATTTAAAGAATTAGATGACATTAAAGTGAAAAGTAAAATAATGAATTTTTTTTATTGATAAATTAAATCATCTAAGTTTTATAGAGAGTAAATTGTAACAAAGGCAAATTAATTAAAGTGGGTTAGTGATGAAATACTTGAACCTTGAATTGATTGGTAGATATGATAATTTAGGTTAATTAATAGAGGAGTCACTCATTAAATTTATTTTAATCATCACTCAATTTGTAAAAACAGTTTATGATAATATAAACAGCTATTTATTTATTTACCTTGAGCTAGCCATATTTCACGAACTATTCACTTTGAGTTTGGGTAAGAAAATGGTGATGTTATGTGAATACAGGTAACTATATAATATACGGTATATATGTTGAGATGTTCAGGGCGGTCGATAACTGACCTCGCTATTGTTGACAGCGGGTATTTACGGTACCAATCACTTGTTGTAGGTAGAAAGTTTTAATAGCGGGTTTTTCAAAATTTTTAAAATGATAAAAATGACATTAAAGTTAACACTCACTTGACCATTTTTTAATTTTTTTTAACAAATAAATTAATTTTGAAAAAATTAAATTTAAAATTTTTGCATGTCAATTTTTTTTTTTATAATTTTTATTTGCCATAATTTATTTGTTAAAAAAATTCTTAAAATTATTGAATATCTGCTGTATTAATTTTCATTAAAAATAACACTAAAGTTAGCAGTGACTTGACCATTTTTTAATTTTTTTCCAACAAATAAATTTAATTTGAAAAATTATTTTTAAAAAATTGAATTCAAAATTTTCTTAAATTTTTACATTTAAATTTTTTTTTATAATTTTTGTTTGCCATAATTTATTTGTTAAAAAAATTCTTAAAATTATTGAATATCTGCTGTATTAATTTTCATTAAAAATGACACTAAAGTTAGCAGTGATTTGACCATTTTTTAATTTTTTTTTTACAAAGACAACTTTTTATTCAGAGTCTTAATTTTAAAAGCTACCAAAAAGCTTAATGACTTTATCGATATTTAATTTAATTTTAATTTGTAATTTTTAACATAATATATTATCTAAGGAAAACAATTTTTTTTTTATAAATTTAAAAATTTAACTTATAAAGCGAAGTTATTTAAATAAACAATTAACAAATTTAGAAATTCACAGTTTTTAATGTAAATTAATAAATTGTTTTCAAACAAATTAACATTTAATAAATCACTAAACGTAGTGATCAATTATTGATTAATAATTGATCAATCCATTTTTGTACGGGTATTGATATCAAATAACACAAAAATATTAATTAGAAAAAAATTTATTAACAAACACAAATATTTACTACATATGTCTCAAGTAAATTTCAAAATTCATTGAAATATTTGAATAAAGTTCCATAATAACTTAAGTATTATTTATTATCATTAAATAAATGTTTTTATTATTGTCTCATTGCACATCATTTTCGTCGTAGACAACTTTTAAAATTTTTATCTCAAATAATTACACGCAATTGTACGTCACTTATAAAACTAAGTATATCCAAGAATTGTTTACTTGCTTCATATACATAATAATCGCGTCATAAAATAGTGTATTTTTATGACATTGAATTTACAGAGAAATTATTTATATATAAACTTCGAAGAAATTAATTTTTTATCACAATAAAAATTATTTTTCTACAAAACAATTAATTATCACAACAACTCTAAGCTCATCTAGGGGCAATAATTATTTTCAAGTAAATTTTTAATCAAAATAAAAACTTCACATAATATTTAAGATAATAATTTTAACCAAAGTTTCAAAATAAATTGTACGATAAAATTACTTCCGTTAGTAAAAATATGAAAAAAAAAAATAAATCAGTAAACATTACGATAACTTTTCTTAAAATGTATGACTTAAATTAAATAATCAGCATGTTTAAATAAATACAAACAAGTAATAACCAGTTATTTCCCAGACTATAAAATTTTTAATTTTATTAAACAATGATTAATTTATCGTGTGCGCGTGCCGAGCGTATGCGAACTTTGTTCGTGTATTATTTATAAAATATTTATTGATTATATACTATTAATAATAAATTATAAATTATCACTTAGAATTGTTACAATTATACAAAGTATATATAAGTAAACTGAAAACGCATTTTTGCAGCATCTAATTCTAATCAATCGTCTATTTTTACAGCCAGCAGAAAGCCACAACTTGCGAGAATACTATCTTGGAAGATAAAAAGTGCAAAAAAAAAATTCTTACATAAAAACGATAGATACGAAGAGTACGTTCCGGGGTCATCATGTCGTCTCGATCGAATCTATCGTCATTATTTGGGGTCATTAATTTATATAAAGAAGGGATAATCACACGCTTATATATACATTCAAACCTCTTGTTTCACCCAAAGGACTTGTTGTATATTGGACAATTAGCTAACAGCTAGAGCTTCGTTCATTACACCAATAAATACTCTAATAAAATTAAAATACCGCATTAAAGTTCTCTCATTATTTATTTATTAAGTGTTTAATAGATAGGTAGTCAATTAAATTAAACAACAATGAGCAAGTTGGGAGCTTTAGCCGACGATTCATTATCGATAATGGACGGGATCAAGATTTATAGCAACCCTGTTTCGAAAAAAAAAGTTATTGATTCTAATAAAATTAAAAATAATTCAAATGCTTGGGCTGGTGTTCAATTGAATCCTGTTTCCAAGCACGATGACAATTTGTAAGTATTTCAAATTTATCTATTGAAAATTCTTTAAAGTTAAGTAAAAATTAACACACTAATAGAAGAAATTATTAATTATTAATAAATTCATTGTGTTGGAAACGATTTATTTATTTGTTAAGCAAAAAACAATATTTTTTTTTTTAATTTAATCAATATTTTTTTGGAGTAAAAAAGTCTTGTTTATCTATATAAGTACGTTGTAAAGATCATTCATTAATATATAATTTTTTATAGTAAAGATATGATACACTGATAATTTCTATTGAAAAAAAATTCTATCACTTATTAAAACTATTATTTAATTACTAATTTTATTTTCTTTACATTTTGATAAAAAGTAATTAATGTTCTCGTTCTTTAATGAAGTTATGGGGCTATAAAAAGTGTTAAAGTAAAATTTTTATGCTCACTTTTTATTTAACAGTCTAAATAAATACTAATTAACTGTTAATAAAAATTTATTAAGTCGTTGAATTTTAAAAAATTATTTATTAACAGTGAATATAGTTTATTAAATATTAAAAAAATCCTTCTATCAACGCAGTGTTAATTAATAATTTTATTTTTCAGGGACAAATATGAAATCGGAGCTTACGGTTACGGAAAGAACAACGTCAAATTACTGTACGTGAAACGCGAAAACGCATACCGCCATGAGATCCGCGAGTATGAAGTCGACACTCATCTGCGACTGGGAAGCCAAAAAGACTATTTAGAGGGGGACAATCGCGACATAATAGCGACAGACAGCCAAAAAAATACTGTGTACATACTCGCGAAAAAGTACGGAATAAAATCCCCAGAAGAGTTTGGAATTTTGCTGTGCGCCCATTACCTCTACACTTACAAACACGTCGAGGAGGTTCACGTAAACATTGAAGAGTATCCATGGATGCGTCATGCTGTTAATGGAGTTCCCCACAACCACGCTTTCATTTTCAATCCTTTAGCCACGAGATATTGTCACGTTACACAACTCAGAAATGGTAAAACACTTATTGTTTACTTAACTTTTTTGAGGTTCCTTGTTTCCTCCTTCACAGTAAGATAGTTCGTGACCGAGATTTCACTTTTTAACTTGGTATTATTTAATTTAGAGTCGCCTAGAATCCGTGGTGGCTTGAAAGACATGCGAGTGTTGAAAACAACACAGAGTTCATTCATTGATTTCATTCAAGATGACTATCGAACTCTTCCCGACGCCAATGACAGGATATTTAGCACAGTTGTCACAGCGTCTTGGGATTTTTCGACTGCCATAGACGTTAATTTCGACAGTGTTTGGACCACTGTTAAAGATTCTATTTTAGAAAAATTCGCAGGGCCTCCTTTGACAGGAATTTCGTCACCCAGTGTGCAAAACACTCTTTATTTAGCCGAGAGATCTATTTTGGACAAGGTTGATCAGGTAATTATTTTTTTAAGGGGGAACACCACTGTGACGATCGAAAAAAAGAGATGATTTTCAGGAATTTTTTTGACAGGGAAAATAAAGGAATTTGGGAATCGGATTTTTTTTATTTTATTAAGGGTACATTAAAGATTATTACCCTATATTTTTATTAAAAAATATTTAATTATTACAAAGTTATTAACAATCTCGTCGAGCACTGGAGAAAATTTTCCCCTCCACGGTCGGTTCGATAACTCAAAAACAAATCATCTGAAATTAAAAACTCAAATTGCTAGTTGGAATTAAAAAAATTTTTATTTTAAAGATTTTTTTAGCCGGGTTAAAAAAAAAAAAAAAAAAAAA